AAACTGCTCAAATGTGAACACTGGTGGGGTTTGGGGAAAATAGAACTTGGCATTTGGGAGTTGTAGTTGCTGGGATTTATAGTTCACCTACAATCAAAGAGCATTCTGAACTCCACGATCGATGGAATTAAACCAAACTTGGCACACAGGACTCCCATGACCAACAGAAAATATTAAAAGGTTCTGTTGAACATTGACCTTGAATTTGGGAGTTGTAGTTCACCTACCTCCAGAGAGCACTGTGGACTCAAACGATGATGGATCTGGACCAAACTTGGCATGAAGACTCAATATGCCCAAATGTGAGTTCTGGTGGAATTTGGGGGGAATAGACTTGACATTTGGGAGTTGTAATTGCTGGGAMTTATAGTTCACCTACAATCAAAGAGCATTCTGAACCCCACCACGGATGGGATTGAACCAAACTTCCCACAGAGAACCCCAGTGACTCACAGAAAATACTTTGTTTTCTGATGGTCTTTGACGACCCCTCTGACCCCCCCTTGCAACCCCCCCCCCCAGGAGTCCCAACCCCCAGGTTGAGAAACACTGTACTATACAGTTGAGTATCGATTCATATGTTTAGGATCAATGTCAATATTGTATTGTCAAAGGCTTTCATGACCGGAATCATTTGGTTGTTGTACATTTTTCGGGCTGTGTGGCCATGTTCTAGAAGCATACTCTCCTGATGTTTCGCCCACATCTATGGTAGGCATGCTCAGAGGTTGTGAGATCTGCTGGAAACTAAGAAAATGGGGTTTATATGTCTGGATTGTCCAGAGTGGGAGAAAGAACTCTTGTCTGTTGGTGGTCAGTGTGGATGTTTCAGTTGGCCACCTTGATTAGCATTTAATGGCCTAGCAGTTTCAAGGGGTGGCTTCTTACTTTGTTTAGAGGTGATTAGTACAATCAGGGCCAGCTAGTCACCACTCCGAACACAAATAAATGTATTGTGTACCTTCATAAATGTGCATGCTTGCTTGCAAAAAAACCCAACTGTGATTCTGCACCTCGTCTCTCTGCCACTGTGATGTCAAGATTCGACAAACGCAAAGGGAGATCTATGAGGGTTGAATGAAAAGTAATGCCTCCACCTTCGTTACTTGGGTTTGGATGGGAATATTTTAATAAATCAAATGCAGAAATAATCCTTAGAATGTGCTCTTTAACTACCACTCTTCACTTTCCCACATAATCACCAGACAATTGGATACATTTCTGCCAACAATGAACTTCTGAAGCCGTCACGGAAGAAGTCGACACTCTTGCTTCCGCAACTTGCGTCTCACAGTTCTCTCATGCTGGGTACCCATCGTGCACAGATCTTCCGATAGCCAAGCAAAGCAATAATGAGAACCACACATTCTTGTGAAATGCCGATTATGCTTGAAATTTCTCTCTGAGTGATACGACGATCGTCCTGAATCAATCTGTCAACCTTTGGCTTGTGAAACTCGGTGGTTGCTGTCACAGGACATCCAACTCTTTGTTTGTCACACTAGTCAGATGTTCCCACCTCAACAACTTTAAACTTACTAGCCCAACAACGCACAGTACTCACCTCAACACAATCACCATAAACAGCTTGCATTCTCTGATGAATCTCCTTTGGGGTGACACCTTCTGCTGTCAAGAATTCAATATCTGCGCGTTGCTTAAGTCACATTGACCAATCATATGCGCAGGGTTCCATCCTTTGCACTTTAACAACACAACCATTCAATGCTAAGGCTTCCTGCCAAAATGGAACTGTAGAGGAGAGTCTACTGAACAAGCCAGTACCTGCCACATACCAGTACTGCACTTTAACAACACAACCGTTCAATGCTAAGGCTTCCTGCCAAAATGGAACTGTAGAGGAGAGTCTACTGAACAAGCCAGTACCTGCCGCATACCAGTACTGCCATCTGTTGAGGAGTTACGAAGGTGGAGGCATTACTTTTCATTCAACCCTTGTATGAGAGACTTCTCTTTCAAGATATGTGAAAGGTTCAGGGTGGGGAAAAGAACTCTTTTCTACTTGCACTTTAACAACACAACCATTCAATGATAAAGCTTCCCACCAATATGGAACTGTAGAGGAGAGTCTACTGAACAAGCCAGTACCTGCCGCATACCAGTACTGCCATCTGTTGAGGAGTTACGAAGGTGGAGGCATTACTTCTCATTCAACCCTCGTATTGTGTACCTTCATAAATGTGGTAAGTGCATGCTTGCTTGTAAAAAGAAGCCCTGCGATTCTGCACTTCGTCTCTCCGACACTGTGACGTCAAGATTCGACAAACGCAAAGGGAGATCTAGTATGAAAAAATAGTTTATTGAGTTTCCACCGGGATGTTTATTTTTCCTCTTTGCCTTTTGAAGCCTATGCTTTTAAATATTTATTTACTCGAATCTAACGCTCACCTTGTTTTGGGCGAAATTGCTGGGATTTGTAGTTCACCTACAATCAACGAGCATTCTGGACTCCACCAAAGATGGAATTGGACCAAACTTGGCACACAGAACTCCCGTGAACAACAGAAAATACTGGAAGGGTTTGGTGGACATTGACCTTGAGTTTGGGAGTTGTAGTTCACTTACATCCAGAGAGCACTGTGGACTCAAACAATGATGGCTCTGGACCAAACTTGGTAAAGAAACAAAATATGTCCAAATGTGATCACTGGTGGAGTTCGGGGAAAACAGACCTTGTCATTTGGGAGTTGTAGTTGCTGGGATTTGTAGTTCACCTACAATCAAAGAGCATTCTGAACTCCACCAACAATGGAATTGAACCAAACATGACAGATAGAACCCCCATGAACAACAGGAAATACTGGAAGGGTTTTTTTGTGGGGGGGGGGGGAGGAATTGATTTTGACATTTGGGAGTTGTAGTTGTTAGGATTTATAGTTCACTTACAATCAAAGAGCATTCTGAACTCCACYAGCGATGGAATTGAACCAAATTTGGCACACAGAACTCCCATGACCAACAGAAAATACTGGAAGGGTTTGACTTTGAGGCATTGACCTTGAGTTTGGGAGTTGCAGTTCACCTACAACCAGAAAACACTGTGGACTCAAACAATGATAGATCTGGACCAAACTCAATACGAATACTCAATAGGCTCAAATGTGAACACTGGTGGAGTTTGAGGAAAATAGACCTTGGCATTTGGGAGTTGTAGTTGCTGGGATTTGTAGTTCACCTAAAATCAAAGAACATTCTGAACTCCACCAATGATGTAATTGAACCAAACTTGGCACACAGAACTCCCATGACCAACAGAAAATACTGGAAGTGTTTCACCTTGAGACATTGACCTTGAGTTTGGGAGTTGCAGTTCACCTACATCCAGAGAGCACTGTGGACTCAAACAATGATTGATCTGGACCAAACTTGGTAAAGAAACTCAATATGCCCAAATGTGAACACTGGTGGAGTTTGGGGAAAATAGACCTTGGCATTTGGGAGTTGTAGTTGCTGAGATTTGTAGTTCACCTACAATCAAAGAGCATTCTGAACTCCACCAACAATGGAATTGAACCAAACATGACAGATAGAACTCCCATGACCAACAGAAAATACTGGAAGGGTTTGGTGGACATTGACCTTGAGTTTGGGAGTTGTAGTTCCCCTACATCCAGAGAGCACTGTGGACTCAAATAATGATAGAACTGGACCAAACTTGGTAAAGAAACTCAATATGTCCAAATGTGAACACTGGTGGAGTTTGGAGAAAATAGACCTTGACATTTGGGAGTTGTAGTTGCTGGGATTTATAGTTCACCTACAATCAAAGAGCATTCTGAACTCCACCAAAGATGGAATTGAAACAAACTTGGCATACAGAACTCCCATGACCAACAGAAAATACTGGAAGGGTTTGACCTTGAAACATTGACCTTGAGTTTGGGAGTTGCAGTTCACCTACATCCAGAGAGCACTGTGGACTCAAACAATGATGGATCTGGACCAAAGTTGGTACAGAAACTCAATATGCCCAAATGTGAACACTGGTGGAGTTTGGGGGAAATAGACCTTGACATTTGGAAGTTGTAGTTGCTGGGAATTGTAGTTCACCTACATCCATAGAGCACTGTGGACTCGAACAATGATAGAACTGGACCAAACTTGGTAAAGAAACTCAATATGTCCAAATGTGAACACTGATGGAGCTTGGGGAAAATGGACCTTGGCATTTGGGAGTTGTAGTTGCTGGGATTTGTAGTTCACTTACAATCAGCATTCTGAACTCCACCAAAGATGGAATTGAACCAAACATGGCATACAGAAAGCTTATGACCAAAAGAAAATACTGTTTTTTCCGTCATCTTTGGTGACCCCTCTGACACCCCTCACGACCTCCCCCAGGGGTCCTGACCCACAGGTTGAGAAACACTGCCATAGATTAGTGCTATGCAATACTGGGATGTGTAGTTTGGTGACACATCAACATCCTTTGGCAGAGAAGGCTTGAGGTCTCGTAAGACAATGAAAAGGAACAAAAAGTAAAATACTTATTTTGGTTCCAAGGTCTTGAAAATTGGGGTGCGCATTAGATTCGATGGCGCATTAAATACGGGTAATACGGGTAATATATATGCATGTAAATTTGCAAGGACCTGGTAGGGGTGTGGCAGTCGAATTTGGGAATGCGATCGAAGCCTTTTGATTTGGCGGCCTTCCTGAGACCGCAAACAACTACAAGCAAGAAGCCGGGAGCTGTGTTTGCTGAGCAATGAGGTGTGCGGAGCTGCGACAAACCTTGGAGCAACAACCACAGCCTGGGAAAGTCACTTTTGGGGATCATTATTAGGAGCCAAACGTGACTTTCCCAAACTTGGGCAATAAGCAAGGGCAGGGAGAGCGGGTCCATGTGCCGTAAACGATTCAAACTTGCATTATCTATATGAGGAAGGGAATATCTTTGGGGAGGGGGGGTAAGAGAAGTCATTGAGATGCCAATCACAAGGATGGCATGCTCAGCCCCTTCTGAGCATGCTTGCAAATTAGTTCTTCCAGCGACCTCTCCGTTTGCGAGTGGGGATGCCTTTCCTCCGTTTCTGGGGCCTGCTCAGGGGTGGCCCCGTTTCGGGCACATCTTGCGGAAGAAGTCTCGCCTCGCTCTCACTTTGCTCTGAGGATGCTTCTAGTTTGGTAGCAAAGGTCTCTCTGGGTGGAAGGGTCTCACCACGAGACATACACATTCCCTCCTGTGCGTGCGATAGGTGATGTTGCGTGTGTGCCGGAAGCAGGGGCAGCAAGGTGGCCACCACTTCGGTGAGCCGCTCCAAACCTTGCCGCAAGGTGTAGCTCAGCTCGCGGATGGCATCGGCCGTCTCCCTCTGCGCCTGGAGGAAATCTAGAGGGGTCTCGCAGATGGGCGCATCAAGGCGGGTGCGCCGACGTCTCAAGGGTGGTGAGGACGATGGGCACGAGGTGGTGCTCAGTTGCTCACCGGGGGAGTGTGCAAGATGTGGCCGGATGCAACCCAAAGTGGCCGGAGAAGGTGCCAAGTGGACCACGGACCGTGCCAAAGGGGGTTCTGGTGAATCACGCTCCTTGGGCCGCAGGAAGCCTCCGTCCAGAGCGCAGCAGGATGTGTGATGCGCAGGTGTCTCCGGACTGCAGGATAGGTGGCTTCTGGTTGGCATATCTGTAAGGGTGAGGAAGGGGAAAGAGTGACCACACGGATACTTGGAAATCCACCTCCCTGCGTTTTGTTAGGTTCTTAGAAAACACGCCAAGCCTTGAGGCCCATCCAGAATATGCCTTTATCCCAGGAGCTTCCGCAGCAAAGAGGAGGGTGGCCAGACACCGTTCCCTGTAAACACGGAAGCAATTGCTACAATCGCGAGATTTCCCAGTGCGGGAATATAACGGATTTGAGCCAAATATGCAGATCTTCGCATATCTGTATGTCCCAACAATTGGAAAATACAGGATTTTGAAAATCTGGGTTTGTTCCTTGGTTTCAGACATTTGTTCCTGATCAGCCAGTTCCTAAAAAATAAGGTGACACTTGAGTAGAAGGCAAAAACTTTGTGTGCCAGAAACCTCATGAAACATGTGGAGGGCACACAGGGGCGGCTCGTCCATTACGTGAAGTAAGCGGTCGCAGAACACTTTTTTTTGCCAGGGGCGCAGAGGCGCCTCTGTAAATGCCCCTCGACTGCCACTTGAGGAGCGCCCCCTCAGCTCACAACAGCCCTAGCAGTCCGGGGGGAGCCTCGGCTTTCTTGCCTCGCTGCCGGGCGATCCTCTTCCCAAAGGCCGGGCCCTTGAGCCTCGCCTAGCCCCTCTCGTTCCTGCTCCACCCGGCCACCGGGTGCGCGAGCAGAGCCGGCGCTCAATCGTTCTCCGCGTTCGATCCCTTCCCCATGACCGGCTCCCTTTCCCGATCCCCCGGCGCTCCACCCGCCTCCTCTCCTCTCCCCAATCCGGTGGGCCAAGGGGCGGAGCCGCCGCGCCTGGCCCGCTTCGGGTCCGGAGGCGTGTCTGAAGACCCCAGCGTGCGCACCAAAAGTCGCCTCTTCTCCTGACTTTCTCTTCAGCCATTGGGACCAAGAGAGAGAGAGAGAGAGAGAGAGCCCCTCCGGCTGGAGGTATCTCCCACCTCCGCTCCCTCCTTTGTTTTTGTGCCTACCTTCAGGAAAGGTGGGCATCTCCACCTCTCTCTCTCTCTCTCTCTCTCTCTTGGTCCCAATGGCTGAGGAGAAAGTCAGGAGAAGAGGTGACTTTTGGTGCACACGCCGGGGTCTTCAGGCACGCCTCCAGACCCAAAGCAGGCCAGGCAAGGGAGCAATGTGGCAAGTGTAGTTACTGGGATGTATAGTTCACCTACAATCAAAGAGCATTCTGAACTCCACCAATGATGGAATTGAACCAAATATGGCACACAGAACTCCCACGATAAACAGAAAATATATATCAATGATTGATTGGTGGGGGGGGGGGCACCAAAATACTGTTTGCTTACCATTGAAAATTACCTAGGGCCGCCTCTGAGGGCACATTTACTCTGGCCAGGACAAAGTTGTGGCCCCCAAGTCCATGTACATCTTTTCATAAGAAGAACAATCAGGAACAGCACTCTTGTTTATGAACCCAGGAACAGCACTCTGTTGTTTGATGTCACAACCAAATCTGTCTGGACAGATGGCCAGGCAGCCAGGCTCTACAAAGTGTCTGTAATTTTTTTAGGTTGACTTTTGACAAGCACTTCTAGATGTATAACCGAGTATATAGCAGGCATGGGCAAACTTTGGCCCTCCAGGTGTTTTGGACATAAACTCCCACAATTCCTAACAGCTGGTAAGGGAAGGAAGGAAGGAAGGAAGGAAGGAAGGAAGGAAGGAAGGAAGGAAGGAAAGAGAGAGCGAAGGAAGGAAGGAAGAGGAAGAAAAGGAAGGAAGAGGAGGAAAAGGAAAGAAGAAGGAAGGAGAGAGGGAAGGAAGGAAAGAAGGAAGGAAGAAGAAAGAAAGAGGGAGGAAGGAAGGAGGAAGAAGAAAGAAAGAAAGGGGGAAGGAAAGAGAAGAAGGAAGGAAAAGAAAGAAAGAAAAGAGGGAGGGAAGAAGGAAGGAAAGAGGGGGAAGGAAGGAAGAAAGGAGAAGAAGGAAGAAAGAGGGAGGGAAGGAAGAAAGAAGAGGGGAAAAGGAAGGAAAAGGAAGGAAGGAAGGAAGGAGAAGAAGGAAGGAGAGAATGAAGGAAGAAAGAGGAGGAAGGAAGGAAGAAAGAAAAGAAGGAAGGAAGAAGAAGGAAGGAAAGAGGGAGGGAGGGAAGGGAAGGAAAGAGGGAAGGAAGGAAGGAAGAAGACCAGTGATGTATTTAAGAGTTCATTGTGCAGGTACGCAGCACGTTCAGACGTCCAAACGTGGGAGTTTATGAATCCCTCTTCTCATAAAGGAACGCTTTCAAAGAAGGACACACTGTTCTCGCCGCATCTATAAAAAGGTCTACATGCAAAGGCAGTACTTTGGCTGGTGGCTCAAATGCCGCACTGTCCTGCCCCACACAAACTATATTTCTTCATTGGCCATGCCTCTGTCCATTCACACCCCTGGTCTCCCTTTCAAGCTGCAAAGAGGATCTCAGAACTGGTTAATTAATTATTTATCGTGCCAGGAGGAACCAGACAGGAATTGTAGGAGTTGAAGTCCAAAACACCTGGAGGGCCCAAGTTTGCTCATGCCTGCCCTAGATGCAAAGGTCTCTGCTGCTGACATATGACAACACTCTTCTGTCTTCACAAGTTGGCACCAAAAGTGCCACATTCACAGTTGCTACTATTTGCCCATATTGGAGAAACCTACCAACATGTGAACCCATTCCCCATATCACTCACCTGTGCCCGGCTCTGCTTCCACGTGGTAACTGTGGGCACCAAACTCTGGCCCTGCGTTCTGGCAAGGCTCTGCCCGACCGTTGGCCATCCCCAGCATCACGCCAGGCCCAAGGATGGCAAAGATGGTCTCCTCCTCCGCTGAGAAGTTCTCATCGCAGGCGGTGGCACCGGCCCCTTGGGTGGAGTGGGGCACCCGTGCCAGCTTCTCCTTGGTGCGCCGCTTGAAGTCATTCCACCGCTTCTGGACCTCCTGCCCGGTCCGCTTCCAGCTGGTGATGCTGTTGATCTTGGCGGCGATGCCCTCCCAGACTCGCCGGCGCTCGGCCACCGTCACCCGCCGGCTCTGGGTGCCGTAGAGCTTGCCGTAGTTGGCACGCACCTCTTGGATCAGGATCTGGTTCTCCTCGTATGAGAAGCGCGGCTTACGCAGGCGGATGATCTCCTCGCTGTCCCCGGGCATTCCTGGTTTGCTGATTTTCAATGATGCCAACCTCTGGGCAACAGCAAGAGTTCTTTATGCCCGGCACCATTTGGTTCTGTTCTGTGCCAATCTTTGGATTCGCTTACACCTGGAGCCACGAAGCTGGCCTCTCCATCATACACTCCAAAATCCCTTATGCCTGGCACCATGAAGTTGGCATCTCCATTGTACAAGACTCAGAAGCAAGGTGATGAGGTTTTGGTCCTTCTGGTGCCAACATCTGGACCTTTACGCCAGGCACCATGGAGTTGCCATCTCCATCGCACAGAGGTCAGACGCAAGACAATGAGATGTTGGTCCTTATGGCACCAAGTTCTGGACTCCCTTATGCCTGGCACCATGAAATTGGCATCTCCATCATACGGAAACAAGGTGATGAGATTTTAGTCCTTATGGTGCCAACCTTACGCCAAACACCATGAAGTTGCCATCTCCGTTGCACAAAACTCAGAAGCAAGGTGATGAGGTTTTGGTCCTTCTGGTGCCAACCTCTGGACTCTTACACCAGGCACCATGAAGTTGCCATCTCTGTTGCATAAATTCAGAGGCAAGGCAATGAGATGTTGGTCTTTATGGTGCCACACTCTGAACTCCCTTATGCCTGACACCATGAAGTTGACATCTCCATCACACAGGGCTCAGACGCAAGGTGATGATATTTTCGTCCTTATGGTGCCAACCTTATACCAGACACCATGAAGTTGTCATCTCTGTCACACAAAACTCAGAGGCAAGGTAATGAGATTTTGGTCCTTTTGGTACCAACCTCTGGACTCTTACGACAGGCACCATGAAGTTGCCATCTCCGTCGCACAGAGGTCAGATGCAAGACAATGAGATGTTGGTCCTTGTGGTGCCACACTCTGGACTCCCTTATGCCTGGCACCATGAAGTTGGCATTTCCATCACACAGGACTCAGAAGCAAGGTGATGAGATTTTAGCCCTTATGGTGCCAACCTTATATCAGGCACCATGAAGTTACCATCTCCGTTGCACAGAGCTCAAACGCAAGGCAATGAGATGTTGGTCCTTATGGTGCCACAGTCTGGACTTCCTTATGCCTGGCACCATGAAGTTGGCATCTCCATCACACAGGGCTCAGACGCAAGGTGATGAGATTTTCGTCTTTCTGGTGCCAACTTTACACCAGGCACCATGAAGTTGCCATCTCCATCACACAAAACTCAGAAGCAAGGCAATGAGATTTTTATCCTTATGGTGCCAACCTCTGGATTCTTACACCAAGCACCATGAAGTTGCCATCTCCATCGCACAGAGCTCAAAGGCAACGTAATGAGATGTTGGTTCTTATGGTGCCACGCTCCGAACTCCCTTATGCCTGGCCCTATGAAGTCACCATCTCCATCACACAAAACCGAGGTAATTAGATTTAGGTATTTCTGGTGCCACACTCTGTCCTCCCTTATGCCTGGCACCGTGAAGTTGGCATCTCCATCACACAGAGTTCAGTGACAAAGCGATGAGATTTTGGTCCTTATGGTGCCAACCTCTGGACTCTTATGCCAGGCACCATGAAGTTGTGATCTCTGTTGCACAAAATTCAGAGGCAAGGTAATGAGACGTTGGTCTTTATGTTGCTCTCTTATGCCTGGCACCATGAAGTTGGCATCTCCATCATACAAGGCTCAGAGGCAAAGGAATGAGATTTTGGTTATTATGATGCCAACCTCTGGACTCTTGCGCCAAGCAAGATGAAGTTGCCATCTCCATCCGACAAAACTCAGAGGCAAGGTAATGAGATGTTGGTCCTTATGGTGCCACGCTCTGGACTCCCTTATGCCTGGCACCATGAAGTTGGCATCTTCACCACACAGAGCTCAGACGCAAGGTGATGATATTTTTGCCTTACGGTGCCAACCTTACATCAAGCACCATGAAGTTGCCATCTCCGTTGCACAGAACTCAGAGGCAATGAGATAAGATGTTGAGTTTTAGTCCCTTCTGGTGCCAACCTCAAACTCCTTTACACCTGGCACTGTGAAACTGGTACCTCCATCATGCAAGAGGAAGATGCAAAGAGTTGGCTTTGGGTCCTGAAAGAGGAGGAAGGATGCTTTTTTCTCAGCATAGCTTGCTTTGATGGTGCCAACCTCTGGACTCCCTCATGCCTGGCACCAAGAATCTGGAGACCTCATGATACAGGGACCAGAAGCAAGGCACTGTTTTTGGGTCCCTTCCTGTGCCAACCTCTGGACTTTCTTATTACGTCTGGCTCTGCAAAACTGGCATCTGCATCATCCAGTGACAAGGAGATGGGATTTGGGTCCTGATGGTGCCAATCTCTGGACTCCCTTATGCTTGGCACCATGGAGCTGGTACCTCGATCATAGAGGAAAGAAACTGGTTTTCGGTCCACGCTGGTACCTGGCACTGTGAAACTGGCATCTCCATCATCCAGAGCTCAGAGGCAAGGCAATGGGATTTGGGTCCTGATGGTGCCAATCTCTGGACTCCCTTATGCTTGGCACCATGGAGCCGGTACCTCGATCATACAGAAAAGACACTGGTTTTCGGTTCACGCTGATGCCTGGCACTGTGAAACTGGCATCTCCATCATACGGAGCATTGAGATATTTGGTCCAGTCCCAACTTCTGGACTCCTTGTGAAGGTGGCATCTCATTCTCCATCATCCAGAGCTCAGAGGCAAAGCAATAGGATTTGGGTCCTGATGGTACCAACCTCTGGATTTCCTTATATTTGGCACCACGAAGCTGGTACCTCCACCGCACAGGGCTCAGAAGCAAGGCACAAAGATTTGGTCTCCGCTGATCGACTCCTTTACAGTTAGCACCGTGGAACGAGCTTCTCCAGAGCCAGGCTTTTGGTTTCTGCTGGTGCCAACCTCTGGACTCCTTTAGGAAGCTGGCATCTCCATCAGAAAGGGGCGAAAGGCACGGCGATGAGTCCCAAAAGAGGAGGAAGGGTTGCTTTCTCCTTGGCACTGCTTGCTGCTGCTTCTGCGGGTTGCACCGGGCAAAGCAGGCACCTTGCCAGCATGGCTTTGCTTTTGCAGAAGGTGCATCCAAGGCTCCTCCAGTCCTCTCCTGCGCCCGCTCATCCGCCTTGGCGCATCGCAAAGCCTCTCCAAATGCTTAGGAAGCTGCTCCTGGCTTCCTCCTCCTCTTCCTTCTCCTCCTCCTCTTCATCTTTGGGCATGCTCACTGCTTAGCCGCACTGCCCTAGCAACCGCGTGAGGTCTCCATCTCCTCCCCGCTTTGCGTACAACTCCAAAGGCTTATGGGAATATCTCTATTTCTCTCCATCTCAGATTGCAGCAGCCTTTCTGGCCTCCTAGGTGTTTTGAACTACAGCTCCCAGAATCCCTGATCCTTGGGCCAGGTAGTTGTGGCTTCTGGGAGCTGGAGTCTACAAATACCTAGAGTTTGGGCAGTCTTCATATTCTACATCAGGCCTGGGCCAACGTCGGCCCTCCAGGTATTTTGGACTACAACTCCCACATTTCCTAACAGGAATTGTGGGAGTTGAAATCCAAAACATCTCCAAATCCAAAACGGCCCTCCAGGTGTTTTGGACTACAACTCCCACAATTCCTAACAGGAATTATGGGAGCTGAAATCCAAAACATCTCCAAATCCAAAACGGCTCTCCAGGTGTTTTGGACTACAACTCCCACAATTCCTAACAGGAATTATGGGAGTTGAAATCCAAAACATCTCCAAATCCAAAACGGCCCTCCAGGTGTTTTGGACTACAACTCCCACAATTCATAACAAGAATTATGGGAGTTGAAATCGAAAACATCTCCAAATCCAAAACGGCCCTCCAGGTGTTTTGGACTACAACTCCCACAATTCCTAACAGGAATTATGGGAGCTGAAATCCAAAACATCTCCAAATCCAAAACAGCCCTCCAGGTGTTTTGGACTACAACTAGCACAATTCATAACAAGAATTATGAGAGCTGAAATCAAAAACATCTCCAAATCCAAAACGGCCCTCCAGGTGTTTTGGACTACAACTCCCACAATTCCTAACAGGAATTGTGGGAGTTGAAATCCAAAACATCTGGAGGGTCGACGCTTGCCCAGGCCTGATCTACACTCTTTAATGTCAATTACAGTGTTGTATGGGATGCTGGGAGTTGTAGTTTGGTGAAGCACCAGCACTCTTGGGCAGAGGAGGAGAAAGGCCTTGCAAAACTATAACTCCCAGAGCGATATTATTATTATTATTATTAGGGTGGTAACACATCAAAAACATCCCGGCGTCCCCTGGGCAACATCCTTGCAGACAGCCAATTCTCTCACACCAGAAGCGACTTGCAGTTTCTCAAGTCGCTCCTGACACGGGAAAAAAAGTTCCAGGGCCAAATTATTTTGTGTGTGTGTGTGTGTGTGTGTGTGTGAGAGAATTGGCTGTCTGCAAGGATGTTGCCCAAGGGACACCTGGATTTTTTACCATCCTGTGGGAGGCTTCTCTCATGTTCCCACATGAGAAGCTGGAGCTGACAGACAGGAGCTCACCCCGATCTACACTGTTAAACTTTAGTTACAGAGTTCTATGGGATGCTGGGAGTTGTAGTTTGGGGAGGCACCAGCACTCTTGAGCAGAGGAGGAGAAAAGCCTTGCAAAACTATAACTCCCAGGGTGATATTATTATTATTATTATTATTATTATTATTATTATTATTATTATTATTATTATTATTACTGTTGTTGTTGTTGTTGTGTCAGGAGTAATTTGAGAAACTGCAAGTCGCTTCTGGTGTGAGAAAATTGGCCGTCTGCAAGGATGTTGCCCAAGGGACACCTGGATGTTTTACCATCCTGTGTGAGGCTTCTCTCATGTCCCTGCATGAGAAACTGGAGCTGACAGACAGGAGCTCACCCCGCTCCCCGGATTCGAACCACCATCTGGAAGGATGTTGCCTAGGGGACACCTGGATGTTTTACCATCCTGTGGGAGGCTTCTCTCATGTCCCCACATGAGAAGCTGGAGCTGACAGACAGGAGCTCACCCTCCCTGGATTCGAACCGCCGACTTTCGTGTCAGCAGTCCTGCCACAAGGGTTTAACCCATTGTGCCATCACGGGGGCTCCTTATTATTATATTATTATTATTATTATTATTATTATTATTATTATTATTATTATTATTATTATTATTATTATTATTATTATTATTTCCATAAGGCAGGTTAAGCCCTAATGGACAGTCCCTTTGGTGCCCTCTTGTGGATACAGGAATATTGCACTGGCCTTGATATTCTGACCTGCAGCCCTTTGCTGCCATCAAGTGGTCTAATAGGGAAGTGCACCCTTGAGCAGTGGCTGGCGTCTCTATGCTGCCATCATGTGGACAAAGTGGAAAACTGCACCTCATTATATTATATTATATTATATTATATTATATTATATTATATTATATTAATTATATTATATTATATTATATTATATTATATTATTATATTATATTATATATATTATATTATATTATATTATATTATATTATATTATATTATATTATATTATTATATTAGGCAAAAGGAAGAGGGGCCGACCAAGGGCAAGATGGATGGATGGCATCCTTGAAGTGACTGGACTGACCTTGAAGGAGCTGGGGGTGGTGACGGCCGACAGGGAGCTCTGGCATGGGCTGGTCCATGAGGTCACGAAGAGTCGGAGACGACTGAACGAATGAACAACAAAACATATTATATTATATTATATTATATATTATATTATATTATATTATATTATATTATATTATATTAATAAATATATCTTCTTTGAAGAATTATTTTACTATATTAGGAAATCAGAAGATTATGTCATCGTTGTAGACATTATTAATTAAAAATATCATTGTAAATAGCCTAATAAAAGAAATAAACCCAGTCTGTCCCGCCGCCTTGGAAAATATACTTTTGCTATGGAACGCTGGGAGGTCTAGTTTTACAAGGGTTCAAAGCAGTTAATTCTGGTGCCATGTCAAACTACAAATCCCAGCATCTCACAATGTAAACAGACATGACTTTGGTTCAGATAGTTTTCCTTTGCTGCCTAGGATCCATAGCTGAATGCTACGGAATCCTGGGAATTATAGTTTTGCAAGGCCTTCTGTGCTGAATCCTCTAGGAACCATAGCTGAATGCTACGGAATCCTGGGAATTATAGTTTTGTAAGGCCTTCTGTGCTGAATCCTCTAGGAACCATAGCTGAATGCTACGGAATCCTGGGAATTATAGTTTTGCAAGGTTTTCTGTGCTGAATCCTGTCAGCAACTCACCCCAATGAAACTGTACAATGAAGTCATATTCTGGCCCCACTTCCAATTACCGTCCCCTGGGATTCCAACCCCTGGGATTTATAGTTTGCTGTAGTCCCATTGTTCTCTGATAGGGGAAATGCAGTGCGACCCCACTCGAACTTCCGTAGTTCAATGCTATGAAATCCTGAAAGCTGTAGTTTGGCAGAGGAGGTCAAAGGCCTTGCAAAACTACACCTCCCAGGCTCCCATAGCTTTGAGCTGTGGCAAAGGTGCACTTTAGTTACAGAGTTGTATGGGATGATGGGAGTTGTAGTTTGGCGAGTTATCTGCACTCTTGGGAAGATGAGGTGAAAGACAATTATTATTATTATTATTATTATTCCATAGGAATGAGTTATGGAAGTTCAAGTGGCGTCCCACTACATTCTCCCTATCAGAGAACGATGGAACCACGGCAAACTATAAATCCCAGGGGTCCACAGCACGGAACGACGGCAATTTGAAGTGCACCCAAAGTATGCCTTCATCGTAGCATTGCAGTGGGGTGAGTCACCGACATGATTCAGCAGAGAAGGCCTTGCAAAACTATAATTCCCAGGATTTCGTAGCACTGAGCCATGGGTTCTAGGCAGCAAAGGAAAACTATCTGAACCAAAGTCATATCTGTCTAAATTGTGGGATCCTTGGGACTTGTAGTTTGGCATGGCACCAGCACTATCTGCTTCGAACCCTTGTAAAACTAGACCTTCCAGGATCAGAAACTATATTGTCAAAGGCTCCTGCTTAATTGTTTTTTCTAGCTTTCCTCCCTTTGGAGGGAAATAATAATATAATATAGGCGCAGTTTTCCACTCTGCCCACATGATGGCAGCATAGAGGCGCCCTCCACTGCTCAAGGGTGCACTTCCCAATTTGGAAACTTGATGGCAGCAAAACGCTATAGAGCAGAATATCAAGGCAAGTGCAATACTCCTATATCCACAAGAGGGCACCAAAGAGATTGGCCATTAGGGCTTGTTCAGGGCCTGTTTTGGCCAGTTTAGGACCAGTTTGGACCATTTGGTCCCTTTTAAGTGTTGTTCAGCCCCAGTTTAGGGTTGTTTGGGACCTGTTTTGCTCGTTTAGTGCCCCTTAAAGGTTGCTCAAGATAACCTGAGGAAGGGTTGACAACAAATTCCAACAGAAAGGAGGAAACCATGAAAATGAACAAAGGATTCCACTAGGCAGGAAGCAGCCAGGCTTTGAAACTGCAAGTCTATTCAATTGCAACATTCACAATTGCCTCAACCATCCTGGACATCATTCCACAGATATATAAAACCCAATTTACCTAATTTCCAACAGACCTCACAACCTCTGAGGATGCCTGCCATAGATGTGGGAGAAACGTCAGGAGAGAATGCTTCTGGAACATGGCCAGACTGCTTGGAAAACTCACAGCGAGCCGGGGATTCCGGCCACGAAAGCCTTTGACAGCACAAATCAAGCACCGGTTCACACCTCCCAAAGAGAGGATGTCTCC